GGGCAGCTAGGTGGCACAGTAGATAGAGCACTGGCCCTGAAGTCAGGAGGACCTGAGTTCAAATCTGGCCTCAAACCAAACACTTGACACTTACTAGCTGTGTGACCTTGGCAAGTCACTTAACCCCAATTGCCTTAAAAAAAAAAAGACACAAAGCTAAGAAGGAATAGCAAGCCCTTTGAATGAAAGTCAGGAGTCTTGGGTTCAAATATTCTTTTTGACAATTATCAACCATTGTGTAATTGCCGGGAGTCAGCTGACTTCCCCATCTGTATAATGGGAATAATAATACTTGTACTATCTCTTTCCCAGGTTTTCATTAGGAGAGTTTTGTAAACCTTAAAACCTTATCGGGGTGAGGGATTTCCCTCCTCTCTTCCACCCTCTCCCTTTCCACCACTCCTCCAAATCTTTTAAAACAGAAGCAGTCAGGGCAAGCTCTCATTGACTTTTTCATTTTACTTTGGATTATATGTCATTATAAATGATAACAAATCAGACCTGAAAAGGACACTATTGGGGCAGGTCATACCGAAGTACAAAACTGATTTTGTGGGAGGCAGTTTAAGGATAATTTCTGCAACCCTCCCATTGTAGCAAAACCGTATCAAACATGGAGGGCTTGAGTTAATAGCTGAGAGTCCATGCATCTGTTTATATGCTCGATTAGAAAAGTTACAAAGGGTGGAAACGACATGCATCTTTCCTCCTGTCCAGGCCCATTCACTCCAGGGCCCCCCGTGGCCTCCCCTTGGCCCATCCCCCTAAGCTCCTGGGCTAGGAGCTGCAGAGCTGTATGTGGAGGTCAGTAGGGGACTGCTTCGGTTGTGGAAGACTGGGCGGTGGTTGGTCAATGACTGGGAGAAGGTGGTAGCTACAGGCATCTTCGGATGACCTATCTAAATAGGTGACCTTAGAGGTCACCTCCTCATTTTACAGATAAGGAAACTGAGACCCAGAGAGATGAAGTTAATTTGTCCAGCGTCACTCAGGTGGCATCATTCCTGGACCGGATAAACCAAAATGGCGGGCCATCCGGAAATCATCGTATGCGACTTTGCAATGTGGTAGAGGATATTGGGAGAGGTGGTGCGTGAAGCTCTGTGTGGGCTGATGGTTGCGTCTGGGCGCTGTGCGCAGACCTGCTTGCAGGGAGGGCAGTTTGGGATTTAGAGTCCGGGCTGGGCGATCTGCCGGGGAAATGTCCTAGAAGGTTCAGGAGTTGGCTCGTGATGCCAGAGGGGTGTAGAGGCATTGATGCTGCTTTTCTGAGTCCCTCCTGGACTTCTGCAGTGCAGATGACGCAGGCCTGGGCCTGGAGGGATGTGAGCTGGGAGACTGCTCACTGCCTCCTCTTCCCCCGTCCACCTCCTCCTCCAAAGCTCTTCTTTCTGCTCTCCCTCTGCCCTTGAGCCGGGCCGCCCCTCTTTCAGGTGGCTGTCGGGCCTCCCTTCGCCATCCTGGAGCTCTCCGTAGAGCAGGTGCTTTCATGACTCTCATTTTGTCAGCGTAATGTAATGGAAGAGATACTGGGTTTGGAGCCAGACGATGTGGGTTTGAATCCTGTTACTGCCTGTGTAATGTACAAGTCACTTCGCATCTCAGCCTCAGTTTCCTCATCTGTTTGATCGTAGGACTTAGAGGTATAAGGAAAGCCTTAGGGCATATAGTACAGTATTTTACAGATGAGGAAACGGAGGCCTATAGAGTGACTTTCCCAGGGTCATACCGGTAATCTGAGGTTCCTGTGTTCCACCACCTCCCTGCCATCTGCATGTTTGTGTGGCTAGGGACCAGCCTAGACTCAGCTGATTTGGCTTTGGGGATGACTGGGGCTGCCCAAGGCCCCCCAAGCTCTAGCCTGGGTCCTTCTCCTGGTTCTGCTGCTAACCAGCTCTGTGACCCTGGGCAAATGACTTTCCCTCTCTGGGCTTTAGTCTTCTCCTCCGTGAAGGAGTTTGGATGAGCCGGCCTCTCATCTGCCTTCTAGCGCCAGCATTCTGTGGTTCAGAGGCTTCAGAGTTAGATGGCCGGAAGTGCCTCCCAATGAGGATGCGGGAAAAGGGACCAGGATGCTCCGTCAGAATTGCTGCCAGGACCTTGCCTGGTGAGGTCCCTGCTCCTTGGAAGCCTCAGATGGAAGACCAGACCCTGACCTCTCGAGTCTGGAGGGAGCATCTGGGGAAGCATGGGCCCTTCCTGCTTCTGCTGGTTGGGTCAGGAGGCTGGGGCAGCCACGTGGGGGGGCTTGTGGGAAGGAGGGAGCCCAGGGGGTGGGCAGGACCATGGAGGCCTTCAGAGAGGATCCCAAAAGCCCCATCAACTTGACGATTCACAAAAAAAGAAGGGAGAGAGCCAGGCTACCACAGGGGCCATGGGGTAAGGCAAAGTAGATGGCGGAGCCCCAGGATACCGAGCAAAGAAACCAGGCCCCTCTGAGATTCTCTGGAAGAATTGGGGAAAAGGGAGGAAAGACCACAGGATGAACGATTCCAGAATGGCTAATCCAGAAGTTCTTTCTCTTTGTGATGTGTGTGTGTGTGTGTGTGTGTGTGTGTGTGTGTGTGTGTGTGTGTGTATGTTCTTGTGTGCATTTGTACAGGGCCAGGGGGAATGTCAGGGCTGGAAGGCGCACCTGAGATCATTTATTTCAACCCTCTCATTTTACAGGGGAGCAAACTGAGGGCCAGAGAAGGGACTTCTGTGTAAAATGAGGAGGTTGGCCACCATGCCATTTCGGGTCCTTTTCACCTCTCCGTGCAGGATCCTGTTACTGGAGCTGCCGGGGGTCATACTACCAGATATAGGCAGTCAGGATTTGAATCTGGGTCACTTGACTTTCGGCCTGGGGCTCGCCGCCCATACTCTCTGACTCATAGTGGAGGAAGCAAGCTCAGAGTCTGCTGGATGGCGTTTGCGGATCGAGCCTCGGGGAGATAGTGGAGTAGCTTCTGTGTTTTCTCTTGTCTAGAAAACACTGTTTGCTTGAGTTGAGCTTTCTCATAGAAAGGGCTGGCCCTGGGCCAAGCTGGGAGGTTGGCTGGTGATCCTCAGCACATTGTTTTGGCCCCTGCCCAGGACTGGCTGTCTGTGCCCCTCAAGGTGCTGGCCAAGAGGGCTCATAAACTAAGGGGGGCGTGTATGTAATTAATGGGAGAGAGCTGGAAGGGGGTCTGGGTGGCAGGAGTGTTTTAAGGTGGCATTCTGGAGACATCACCCCCTCCCTGCCTCTCAGTTAGCTCATTCTTGATGTCATGGTGGGAACTGAAGAGCTAAAGTGTAGCCAGGCCCTCGATGGCGGGGGCCATCTGGCACCTCTCAAGTCACGCCTTGCTGGCCAGTGACTCCCTCTTCACCAAGGACCAGCCTGGCTGGGTAAGTACTTTAGGAGACACCTGCCTTGTTGCCTTTTGGGGCCTCCCATACCTCTACAGCCTGGAAGGAGAGAGACACACTGCCTGGGGTGTCAGGGGCCGCTCCCCTTTCTGCTGTCCATTCACTGGGATTTTGGACAGGTTGCTTCTGCCCCGGGCTTCTGAGATGATGTTGACTCACGTCCACGCTTGTGTCTGACGGCAGATTGGCCCAAGTGCTCATTCAGTTGCTGGGTCGGTTTGGCTCAGAGAGCTCCCCCTCACTGGGGCTCCCCGTCCACTTAACTCCTACTTTCTGACTCTCCAAAAGACCGAAAGGCGTTTTGTGTGTGTCTCTCCTTGGGATTGCTCCCCAAGCCTTGATTATTAGGCAAGTGTGTCTCTGCCCCACTGGCAGAGCGTGACATTGACCTTGACCCCTCCCTCGGGGAGCCTTCCCCGAAGCTTGCTATATAGCCTGGGATGGACACATAGAGGGACAATGCCAGGAGCAGTGTGTCGACCTCAAACATCACATTTATAATCTTCTCTCCCCAAGGCGGCAGGGTTTTGCAGGAAGTAGCACCTTTGGTTGGCTCTGCAGGGTTGGGGCCCGCTCCAGCCAGGTCCTGGTGGGAAGGGAAGCCATCAGAGGAGGAGAAGGAGGAGGAGGAGGAGGAGGAGGAGGAGGAAGAAGGGTGGAGGCAGGCAGAAGAATACAGACCGGGGTTGTGGCATTGCCCACGACTCTTACAGGCCCTATGGCTGGATCTCAAGGATTGGTCCAGCCCCTCATTTTACAGATGCCCAAGCTGAGGACTGGGACAGGAAGTGATTAATTAGGCCAAGGTCACCCACACAGGTAGAAAACCTGCAGAGCCTCTGATTCCAAGGCTGCCCTCCCTCTCTCTCACTGCCCTTTCTCCTGGAAATACCACCTGCTGTCCTGGGTTTACTGTGAGCAGCCTGCTGCCAGTGAGTTTACACTTCACAGGAAGATCAGCCAGTTGGAAGCCTTTTCCCTTTCCTTGCTGTCTCAGATGGTTCCCATATGGTCTGTTAGTTCTACTGGTGGGCCTGGCTGGGAGGGAAATGGGAACAATCTTTCAGAGCAGCAGTGATCTGGACATAGTCAGCTGGGGTATCTTGCTGTATGGGCAAAACCCCCTGCCCTCTTGTCCAACTGATTGAGACCTCAAACAGGCCTGGTCATCCCAGCCTCACCATTACCACCAGCTCAGACTTACTGAGCTATTGAACTCAGTACTTACTTGCTGAGCTGTGCTGAATGGTATAGCTGGTTTGTGTGCCTCAGTTTCCCCATCTGTAAAAGGGCTTGAAGTCGATTCTCACCCTTTCCTCTCCAGCACCTCTGGACCCAGAGTGCCCCTGGCCTTAGTCTCCACGCCAGTGAAATGCTTTTGCTGGCCCCCCCTCCACCCCCATGCTTCATACAGACTTTACTTTGACTTTTATAGGATGTCTATATCAGACCAGGGCAGCTAGGTGGTGCCAAAGTGCTTAGAGCACTGAACATGGAATCAGGAAGACTCTTCTTCCTGAGTTCAAATCTGGCCTCAGACACTAGCTGTGTTTCCCTGGGCAAGTCACTTCACTTCACCCTGGTTGCCTCAGTTTCCTCATCTGTAAAATGAGCTGCAGACTACTCCAGTGTCTTTGCTAAGAAAACCCCAAATGGGGTCACAAAGAATTAGACACAACTAGAATGACTCAAAAACCACCGCATCATTCCATCTAGACCCGTAGTCATGTGTCCTTTTCTATCTGTCTGTCTATTAAAGACATGTGATTCAGTGGAAGCAGTCCTGGGTTGCCACTTGGGCTCTGCTGCCGCGTATTCCCCGGGTGACCTGGCAAGCCTCTTCACTTCTCTCGGCCTCAGTTTCCTCCGTGTCGTGGTGTGGATGGTGCCTGAGGGCCCTGCTGCCTCTAGATCCTGCCATTCAGCAGCAGTTCAGCCGTGTTATTTATTCCTTGGCGATCAGACACTTGACTATTCAGGGAGGAGTGAGGAGACACTCCCTTGTGCCCTGCTGGGTCAGGCCAGGCTCAGGTCTCAGTGACTGCCCACGGAAGAAACGCATACCTCTATATCCCCTAGCACTCAACGCTGAGCATCTCGTGGAGGAGAGACAGTGTGGCCCGGTGGCTGGAGCCTGGGACTTAGAGCAAGGAAATATGGGATTAAATCCCGCCTCAGACCCCGGGCAAACCTGAGAGCCTCAGTTTCTTCAAATGTAAAATGGGAGACAATGATACAGCGACAGCATTGCCCTGAGGAAGGGGGAGAGGAGGAAGAAACTTAGCTGCCTGACCCCCTTCCAGCCCACCTGCCTTAGTTAGCAGCCACCGGGAGAGGAGCTGGTCCTGTGGCAGGGGAGGATTCGGCCTCTTACAGGATCGGTTGGAAGACGGGTGTGTTTGGGTGATTTGGTTTGCCTTTTCCCTTCTGGTCTCTCTGGGGTGCCCTGTGGGCCTGTGGCCACCAGGTGTCACTGCCCACTCGATTCCTCCTGGAAGACCTTTGCCCCACTGCAGAGCGTCTGGCTAAGGTAGAGCTCTGCCTTCTGCCAGGTGGGCCGGTAGACTCAGGAGCAGAGATCTCTCCTATGTGCTGAACGGCCTCCTGGAATCTCAGACCAGCTGCTGGATCCCAGGCTCGTTTTCACTCCCCTTCCGGGAATGTCAGGGAGGAAAGTCCCAGCATCACTGGGTCATTGTGACCTGGAATCCCAGCCTGTCCCTTTCTACAGCCTCCCGCCCAGCCTCATTTACTGCTCCGGTATTAGTCCTGGGCACCTGACTCCAGCCCTTAGCTCGGCACTCTCCCGGCTTGATGGTCAACCTACTCTGGCTTTATGCGTGGCTCAGTCCTGGGCCTATTCCTGCCTTCCTGATACGGAGCCAAGTGGGGTCAGGGCAGGAAGCAGGCATGCTCCCCCCTCCACTCCCCCAGGCCCCGTGGGCCCTTTGGAGACAGAGAGAGAGGAAGGGGGCACAGGGACCAGAAGCGGATGGGCCTGGCCCCGCCACAGGCTTTCAGCTGGGGGGCATCCGGCTCTTGGCGCCTGGATGCTCTGGGCCCAGCCTGGCACTTGCCAGCGCCCAGAGTGGACAGACGAGGTGGTGTTTCCGTGTATGTGGCGGTGCAGGAGCCTTTTGAAGCTGCTGAGTAAACATGAAGCTCAGACCCTGAATTGTGGCTGGCGTGGGGGGTGGGGAGCAGAGGTCAGTCACTGAGGACAGCTCCGGGCAGCTCATTGGTCAGTGTGTGCCAGCGCTCAATCTTCTTGTCCTTGTTTTTTAGGCAGTCGAACCAGTGCTTCAGGCGTTCGCCCTTGGCGTTGATACCCAACACAACTCCTCCTAAAAAGCAAAAGGGGCTTAGGTCAAGAAAAATGGGGTGTCTTCATTAACTGAGACGCTAAACACCTACTGTGTGATTGTGGGCAGGTTGGGTGACCCTTCTGCCTCATTTCCCTCATCCGTACATCTCTTGGAGCATCTAAGTTCTCAGAGCCCCACTCAGAACTTCCCACAGCAGTGGGCACACAGTAGTAACTGCATCCTTGTTGGGCAACCACTTTTCTACTGCTCCAGAGATGCCCCGGCTTCTGCCTTGGGTTCGTGTCCTTCTAGACCCACCAGGGCTTCTGAAGGAATCCAAATCCCACCAGAGGTTCAAGGATAAATCCATCCTCGTCCTGATTTGGGAGCATTTAATTGAAACATCATGGGCTCTACTTCATTTACTCACATTCCTACACTGGGTCTTGATTTACGCATCTGTAAAATGAGGGGGTTGGGTTAGATCAGTGTTTCCCAGATTAACTGGATCAAAGAACTCTTGGGCTTGACATCCATGAAAGGAAGTCCATGAACATGGTGCTCCATGGTCAAGGTCGTGGGCCACCATATTTAATCTTGGGCCAAAGGTTTGACAGGAACAAAGGATGTTTGTGAAAGTCACTGGCAAGGCAGAGGGTACCCGTAGGCCAGGGGTAGGGTCAAGGCTTTACAGGGGTGGGAGGTCTCAGATGGGACAGAGTTTACTGTGAGGCAGAAGTCTTTCCATGCCCAGAAGGTTGGGCAAGGAGAAAGTCCTGGGCTTCCCAGCAGGGGAAATCTAGGAATTGTTAACTAGGACAGTGGCCCAGGTTGTAGACATGGAGGGATCAGATCACTTCATGACCAATGGGCAAGATTTCTATGCTCCATGGCACTCTGTGGCCTGCAGGTTGGCCCTGCCTTGTCTCTGCCCTCTTGTCAATCCCCTGCAGCCGTGTGGGTGGTGGGGCGACCATCCAGTGGGTATTTGTCTGACTCAGCCCTCCTAGATCCTGGTGGCTGATAAGAATGGGCCCACTGGGGTCACTCCATCAGTGAGTCCTCCTGGATGGGGATTTGTGGAGGTTCAGTGGTGTTCTCAGCCCCAAGCTTTGTGGGAACGTGGGATCCATATCTAGAGGGCCTTCCTACAGAACTGTTGACATTGGCATCCCTCACTGGTTGCCAGGCCCAGACGGGGGTCAGGGATTCTACAGAGTCTCTCTTGGACAATTTCAGTCATATGTTTTTGTTGGGGAAGGGTCCAGGACTCTCTTCCAGGAGGGGCAGGGGGCTGGGGCTCCCATTGGGTTGTTAGCAAGAGTAGGTGGTGTCTCTGGTCCCTGCCCTGAGTCTCTTCAGGCCTTGTAGGGGGTGGGAGTGGATTAGAGCCGAGGCTGCAGAAAGGAGGGTCTGGTACCTTTCAAAGACCTTCACAACCTGCCCCTGACCTATCTCTCCAGTCTAGTTCATTACTTGCCTCCCCTCCCTCTGCTGGCCAGCCACGTTGGTGTTCTTCCTGTTAGGTACTCCCGTTCCCATCGCCTTTCTGCCAGCTATGCCCTGTGCCGGAATGTCCTAAATCCTCACCATCACTGAATAGAATCTCTTTCAAGACAGCTCAGACACCGAGTTCTACGTGAAACCTTTCCTGATTTCTTCCCCACCCCTGCTGGTGTCCTCTCTCCCTAACTCCCTTGAATTTATTCTCTCTGCATTTTTTCTATGTATCCACTGTGCACCCCTTGTGCAATCCCATTAGAATGTCAGCTCTTTGAGAGAAGGGACTATTTCATTCTCTGTATGTGCGTCTCAGGGCTTGGCTCGGAGTAGATTTGAAATAAACTCCTGACACCCGATTGCTTGGCCCAGACTCCCCCTCAGGTCACTTGGGTCCCTCTTGGTTTGGGGGTAGCATGGGTATTTTCTCACAGAAATCCTATTCTAATCAGGGGCCATACAAGAGTTCCATGGGCATCATTTAGGAAATGCTAGATGAAATAACTCCAGTTTTCCCCCACAGCTCTGACTCTGTGGGATTCTCTGTCCAAGGTCTGGGATGAAATAACTGGTATTTGTAGAGTTGTACATTACTTGCCCTTCTTCCCAGGAAGCGATGCTGACCCCAGGTTGGAGTCCCCCCCTCCCCCCACTTCTCAGCAGCTTTCCGAATCCTGGGAAACCCCCTCTTCTAATGCCCTCCTCCCCTGAGTGCCTGGGCATGAGGAGGAGGATCCCCCTTGAGGTCCCTCTCTTTCCTTACCGATGAAATCATTTGATTTGCCGATATCATAATCCCAGACAGTGATCTCCAGGGTCTTCTTAGCCAGGTCTCCATGCTTTATTTCATAGCAGAACTCCTAACGTCCAAAACAGAGCACAGCCATCAGCGCAGCCTGTCTGAGCCAGATAGGCCTGGCTCGCTGCCAGGTGTGGGTGTCATTGGAAAAAAGCTTGAATTTTGAAGCTGAGAGGCAGGGGCTGGATCCTGGCTGGGCTACTACCTAAGGGACCCTGGACTAATGACTTGAGTTCTAAGGACCTCAGTTTCCTCATCTGTAAATGGGGAGGTCATAGGATCAATGATTTTGAGGTCATGTGGTCCAATTGCCCCTCCCCAGCCCATCCCCATTTCCCTTTTAAAGAAGGCCGTGGCCTAGGGAGGTTAAATGACTGGTCCTTAAGTGTCAGAGAGGTGTCTAGGAAGGAATTATCAGAGGGAAGATTTGAACCCAAGTCCTTTGATTCTAGACTTCAACGAACTTCTTTATGCCCTCCACATTCTAGTCAGTCCATCCTACCTGCATTCCTCCATGCCGCATTTCCACCCCTTTCTCTTTGTACCTTTGCACCAGCTGTCTCCCATGCATGGTGAGATCACCCTGATTTTTGCTATTTTGCATTTTAATGTTGTATTAATTACTGATTAAGATCAATGTTTTAATGTTTTGTATTTTAATGATTTATGTGCATGTACTTCTCCATCCCCTCCCCCTCACAGAATGGAAAGTCCTTGAGAGAAGGGGCTCTGTTATTTGGTTTTGTGTTCAGCATGGGGCCCACTGTGTGGTGGGGACTGAATACATGCATGTGCTGGAGGGATGAATTGCACCTACTCTTTCATGGTGGGAGGCCAGGCATCCCTAGAAACTCTGGCCGGGGCTTGGTCCAGCACTGTGGGAATTCTGGGAATTTGCCTGTTTGCTCAGTGATCGGCCTCTCACACTCAGGCCGTCATTCCGCCCAAGCTTGGGCTGCCCTCGTTCCGTCCCCCCTCCCCCCGGCACCTCATTGAATTCTGGATTCAGGGTTTTCTTCTTCACAGCTGTCTTGTGTTTGGATTTCTTGTCCACGTCAGGTTTCAGGTATCTGTAATTATAACCAGGAAAGGGATCGGCATTGGGAAGTGTCAGGAGATTGGGCCGGGCTCTCTGGACAGGAACTTTCTACATCTGAGGAAATATTTTCAGGGATTTCTCTTGCCACTGAAATCCCATTTAATTCAACGTTAGCTATGCCATGATCGAAGGTCCATATCGTCTTCAGAGAGGAGCCATTGGTAAATTCATGAAGTGTGCTTTCATTTATAATTCTATTCCCAAGGGTATTTATTAATAGGTCCCAGTAAATAGGAAAAGGGGCAGCCAGGTGGTGCAGTGGATAGAGTAGCCGAGCCTGGAGTCAGGAAGACTTGTTCCTGAGTGCAAATCCGGCCTCAGACTAGCTGTGTGACCCTGGGCAAGTCACTTCACCCTGTTTGCCTCAGTTTCCTCATCTGTCAAATGAGCTGGAGAAGGAAATGGCAAACCACTCCAGTGTCCCTGCCAAGAAAACCCCAAATGGGGTCAGGAAGAGTCGTATACAGCTGAAACAACTGAACAACAAATGATGTAAAACTTTTTACACTGGGAAAATGAACGTGTGTTTGCATTTCTGGATAGAGTTAGGTTCCACAAATTTTCCTTCTCTCCTGGGAATCAGGCTCAGCAAATACTTTGATATGTTAACCACACTGATGAAGACTGATTAAGAAGCAGAGGCATCTTAAGAAGAGATACCTATAGGGGGAAGGTAGATGGTGCACTGGGTAGAACACTGGTCCTGGAGTCAGGAGGACCTGAGTTCAAATCCAGCCTCAAACACTTGACACTTACTACCTGTGTGACCCTGGGCAAGTCATTTAACCTCATTCCCTAGCCAAAAAGAAAGAAAGAAAAGAATAGATAGCTATAGGAACAGAGGCACGGTTCATCAATTTGGTAAGTGGTCTTTTCTGCAGTGGACATTAGCCCTATAACAATGAAGATATTTTTAGAGAGGCACGAGAGTTCAGTAGTAAGAGCACTGATGCTAGAGTCAGCCGACCTGGGTTCAGATCCCATCGGCGTCATTTACTCTACCTGTGTGACCCTGGGCAAGTCACTTTGGTTTTCCCATCTATAAAATAAGGAGGATGGATCAAGTGACCAGTTCTAGATCTTAGAACCCATGACTCTGGCTCCTCCCATGTTCTCATGTATTAAGAGCCTACTATACGCCAGGCCCTGTGCTGAGCTCTGGGGAGCCCCTGGTTAATATGCCCACAGCGATGCAGGGACAAGATCTGTTCAGAAAAAATGGGGAATAACCAGCAGAGGGGAGGCAGGAGAATTATGCGGATTCGGGAAAAGCCTCCTATTGGGTGTGGGATTTTAGCTGGGCTTTGAAGGGAGCCAGGATGCATTGGAGAGCATTCCAGGCATGAGGACACCCAGTGGAAACGCCCAGAGGTGGGAGAGGGGGGAAAGGCGAGGCTGCCGATGGCACTGGATTGTAGACCATGCAGAGAGAGCATGGTTTTCCTGGTAAGAAGGCTGAGGGCCCAGAGGAGCAGTAACTTGCATAGCCTTGCCCAGCTGGTAAGTGTCCCAGGTGGGATTCGAACTCAGGGAATCCTGGAATTCCCAGCCTGGCGCCCATTTACTGATGCAGTTATGCTGTAAGCTGCAATGTGCTGCAATGAACACAAGGGAGCGCTGTGGCTACACTAGAGGATTGTCTCCAGGTCTTTGACCTTAAAGCCACTTTTGTGAATCTCCATTGGAGAGCCCCAGGACCCCCTAAGCCTTGAGTAGTCACATAGAATAACCGAGGCTGATGGTCATCTAGTGTCTTGCAATTTGCAAAGGGGGATTTTTATGTCTGGTGGCCTCCCAGCAAGCACAATGGAAGCCCCATTTGACAGATGAAACAACTGAGGCACAGAATGGGTCAGCTACCAAGCAGCCCAGGTGGCCATACCCATGTCACTCTGACTCCAAGTTCAGTCTTTTACCCACTATATGTTGTGTTTGTTCAGGCTTTCAGGCCTGTCTGACTCTTCATGACCCCATCTGGGGTTTTCTTGTCAGAGACACTGCAATGGTTTGCCATTTCCTTCTGCAGCTCATTTTACAGATAAGGAAACTGAGGCAAGCAGGTTGAAGTGACTTGCCCAGGGTCACACAGCTAGTAAGTGTCTGAGGACTGATTTGAACTCAGGTCTTCCTGAGGCCCAGCGCCCTAACCACTGCTCCACCCAGCTGCCTGAGCTTACCCGTTTTAGCCAGTCTCCAAAAACATTTTTGATCCTATGTTGGTAAAAAATTTTTGAGCATGTACCCTCACCCCAATATGTGTATTCATAAGTTATAATCTCTGTGGCTTATTCTCCTAACCCAAAGCATAAGGGCTTGAGGGAGGAGAGGAAGAAGGGGAGGGTGTCTCACCAGCTACAGATGCTGAACGCAGAACCCATTCTCCGGGGGGCATCTGCTATTGAAGGCATGAAATGATGGGAGTGCAGGGGAGGCGTGGAGAGGGGTTATGGGGAGGGTGCTGAATTTTCCTAGCAGCACTTGAGTACCTGCCACTCTGAGGAGCCCGTGGCCCAGGCAGAAGTGGCCCATAGCTTGGCATCACAGCTGGTCACATGCCTGTTGGGCTCACCCCACTCCCAGAGGGCAGATGGCCCTTTTGGAGACTGGGAACTTAAGCGTGCCACACCATTACCACATTTTCTTCTGGGGGAGATTAGAAGCAACCAGAGGGCAGGTGCCAGAGGACAGGGGGCTGGAGCCTACTTGTGTTGGTCATAGAGAGTCACCTTGGGAAGGTCATTTGACCTCTCTCGGCCTCAGTTTCCTTCTCTGAAAAATGAGAATGTTGGACCAGATGACCCTTCTAGCTCTAAATGTGTTCCCAGACTTCTCTTGTACCCACCCCTCTGAAGCACTGAGCACAGGGCTGGGGACAAAGTTGGGGCTCAGTGAACTCTTGCTGCATTTCCTCCCTGAGATTCTCCTGAGCTCTGCTGCTTCTGATGGGGTGTGTCCCATGGAGAGGAGCTGCCTGGCCCTGGCCCAGCCAGACCTGGGCCCTGTGGTGCCATCACCCTGAGCCAGCTGCCTCCTGTGACTCGAAGGGGCAAAGAGGAAGGGAATAAGTATTTATTTGGCACCCACTATGTGCCCTGGGCAAGTCACTTCACCCTGTTTGCCTCAATTTCCTCATCTGTCAAATAAGCTGGAGAAGGAAATGGCAAAGCACTCCAGTATCTCTGCTACGAAAACTCCAAATGGGGTCAGGAAGAGGCAGACAGGACTGAACAATGAGTGAGCAACATTCTGCAAGGCTGTGCTAAGCATGATTCGCAACTATTATCTCATTCCAATTCTCACAACCCTGTGAAATAGGTGCTATTATTATCCACATTTTACGTATGAGGAGACTGAGGTCTAGAGAATTTAAGTGATTTACCCAGTGCCACATAGATAATCAATGTCTGAAGCTGGATTTGAACTCAGCCCTCCCTGACTCCTTGCCCAGAGGTCTAGTTATTTCACCACCATCTGCCTTGAAGGATGGTACAATGGGAAGAACATAGGCTCTGTAGTTAGTGAATCCGGTTCCAAATCATGCCTCTGACACTTATTACCTGTGTTGTTTTCATTTGATCATATCCATCATGTCTGACTCTTTGTGACCCCATTTGGTTTTTTTTTTTTGGCAAGGATACTGAAGTGGTTTGTCATTTCCTTCTCCAGCTCATTTGACAGATGAGGAAACTGAGGCAAGCAAGGTGAAGTGACTTGCCCAGGGTCACACAGCTAGTAAGTGTCTGAGGATGGATTTGAACTCAGGAGGACGAGTCTTCCTGACTCCAGGTGTGGGGCTCTGTGCACTATGGCGCCACCTAGCGGCCCTATTACTTAGGTGACACTGAGAAAATCACCTACTATCCCTAGACTGGAGTTTCCTGATCCGTTAAAGGAGAGCATTAATCCTCAGGCCCTTGAGATCCCCTCTAAGGATGGAGGAGGGAGGGGTGCCTCACTGGCTTACATCTTCACGTAGGGGTCGGAGTATCCGTTGGCATCCATGGCTGCCAGATGTGCACACCTCACGATGCCCACCAACAGACCCTGCTTCTGGGAGCTGTACTTCAGGGATATCAGGATCCGCCCTCGCTCTTCCAGGGACTTGTCTTCCGTCTTATCCACCTGTGGGGGACGCAGAGCAAGGATGGTAGTAGCAAAGGTGGCCTCCCACCCCACAGTCCCCATCACACCATGGACCAGCCCGCCAAGGGGAGGCTCTGCTCAGACCAATGAGACCGCCGCAGTCAGCCTCACTAGAACTAGTGGTGGTGCAGGGGATAGAGTGCTCGACTTGGAGTCGGGAAGACCTGAGTTCAAATCCTGCCTCACTTACTAGCTGTGTGACCCTGGGCCAGTCACTTCACTCCATCACCTTTTGTTTCCTCTTTGGTAAAATGAAGGTGTTGGAGTCAATGGAGGCCTCAAAGGCCCCCCATGACTCCCGATATGGTCACCAAACACATTCTCGGCAGAGCCAGAGCCACCCAGGCAGATGAGGATGGTGCCCCGGCACTAGCGAGACGTCTTGGTGACAGTTCAGAAGATGGTTAGGGGAAGGAGTCCTAGGATCAGGAGATGACTATTCCCAGATGTGATTGGTCTGAACCAGGATAAGATTACAGCCACATTAATCATATTTATGCCAATATTCTCTGTGTGTCCTCATATGAGGATTATTCTCCACCTGAATTCTTCCTATTGAGGGCACGGGGAGGGGTGGGCTCGTCGTGGGGGAAGGGATGACAGTGGGCTGCTCTGGTGTCCTCATGAGGTCAGGGGAAATTGAGGAAGGCCCCCAGCATGCTGGGTGGACCCACTGTGGCAAACAGGGTGGGAGAATGGCACGAGATGGGGCAGGCATTGCTATCTGCATACTTGGAGGGAGCTTCTGAATTAGGGAGACCACAGAGCCACTGGAGAATCTGAGTATTAAGGTCACTGTCCTTTGTATGTGAAGACATATGGATTCATCTTTATAGCTCCAGCTGTGATGAAGACTAAAAAGATGTAATCCTGACCCTTGGGTGGCTAGGTGGTTCAGTGGATAGAGCCCTGGTCAAGAAGACCTCGGTTCAATTCCAGCCTCAGACACTTATTAGCTGTGTGACCCTGGGCAAGTAACTTAACTCTGTTTGCCTCAGTTTCCCCATCTGTAAAATGAGCTGGAGAAGGAAATGGCAAACCTCTCTTGTATCTCTGCCAAGAAAACCCCCAATGGGGTCATGACTGAAATGAATGAGCAACAAACCCTGCCCTCCAATTTCACTGATATGGGGAGGTCCTGGTAAGGAACCCCACCCCACCAGTGCAGGCCACAGACTGGGTCTTCTGCAATTTATAGACCTTGCCAATTACCTAGAGAAGTGGTGTCAAGCTCAAGTAGCAATGGTTCCCCGCACTTAGAAAACCACAAATTAACGCTATCTTGATTGTATTTTTAAATATTTTCCAAATCCATCTTAATCTGGTTCTGGCCCACGCTCTGGAGTGTGGCTCAATGCATTGGCCTGAGGGTTCTGAGTTTTTCTTGTCTGGCCTAGAGCACCACCCTGAGGTTAAGTGACTACCCAGGGTCCCTTGGGTAACAAAGATGGCACCTGAACTGAGGTGTTCCTGGCTCTGAGGCCAGCTCTGCATCCATTTTGCCATGCTGATTCTGTTAGAAAAGACAAACTGAAGCCGTAATAATAATTCTGTGTCACATGTCCCGACACTGAAGAGTAATAATAATAGATAGCATTTATATAGTTTGGAGGTTTTCAAAACACTTTACAAATGCAAGCCCTGTCCTCCAACTCATTGTATGGGACTCTCTCCTCTTGGTGGAGATGAAGGTCCTGTCCTGAGAGCCCAGCCTTTGCCCAACCCCCTTTGGGGACTTTCCAAGTGAGTGTCTTCTTCAAGCATTAAGAGAGAAGATGGGAGGGGCCAAGCCCACTCCAGGTTGCTGAAGGAAATGCCTGGGACGACACGAGGGGAGCTGGCTGTCTCCATCATGTCTCTATCCCCAGCTTGCTACTCTGAGGATGTCGGGGAGGTTCCCCTTGGGTGAGAGTCAAGTCTGCCTTTCTTGGCCAAACTGAGCTATCTCACTCGCAATGGGAGAGCTCCTTCCCTCTGTATTGTCTGGGATGGATTCTCCTATACAAACCTTCTCTGATTTCTGTTTTGCTATGCTTTGGAGAAATGGGCGTCTTTGACATTCTCGATGTGTGTTCGTTGTGGAATTGGTGTTAGGTGGGAAAGGGGTCACCCTTGGGTTCTTCCTCCCAAAGTGACCAAAAGCTAGATGGAACCCAATCATATCCCCTCGATGAACAATATTTAAATAGACATTCCTCTAGCCGCGCACTCCCTTTCTCCTGGGAGGCAGAGTGGCCTCCAGCCCCAGCCTCCTACTTCCCCTCCTGGCAGGGATAGGAATCCCCCGTTTGGAGAAGGGACGGAGAAGAGCAGTCTAGGGATGTCTATTCTGCCTCCCTTCGAGCCACACCCAAGGACGGTGTCCTCACCACATTTGGAGCCTCACTACACATGTAGGACCCACTCCATCACTCTATTGGTACACAAATATTGTCTCATTTGATCTGATCAACAGGTAGGTGCTATAATTTCTCCCATTTTATAGAGGAAACTGAGGCAGATAGTGATGAAGTGACTCACTCAAGGTCACTCAATTAGTAAGTGTCTGACTCCAGATCTGAACTCAGGTGTTCCAGACTCCAAATCCAGAACTTTATCCACTGTACCATCTATACGGGATGGATATATAGTGGGATATACTCGAGAACCAGGTGGGGTAGGGAGAGTCTCACAAAAAGTGGGGGCCGCATTATTGAGAGGGGCAGCCTCCTACCTGCCTGACCACAGACCTGACTATGTTACTGTGAGTACTCCTTGGTTAGCATGAAGACAAAGTGTATGAATTACCAACTCTAGGATTGAACTTTTCTCTCCCTCCCCCTTCTATCTTCTCCCCTCTCTCTACCTCCCTCCCTCCCACCCTCTTTCTCTCTCTCAATCTCCTTCTCTCCGGCTCTCCCTTCCTCTCTCTGTCTCTGTCCCTCTGTTTCTGTGTCTGTCTTTCTCTCTGTCTCTGTCTCTGTCTCTGTCTTTCTCTCTCTGCCTCTCTCTCTGTCTCTGTCTCTCTGTTTCTCTCTGTCTCTGTCTCTCTCTCTGTCTCTGTCTCTGTCTCTCCCTCCCTCTCTCTTTCCCTCTCCTTCCCTCCCTCTCTCTCTCCCTCTCTCTCTCTCTCTCTCTCTCTCTCTCTCTCTCTCTCTCTCTCTCTCTCTCTCTCACACACACACACACACACACACACACACACACACACACACACACACACACTTTTTCCGAGGGCTCAGAGGCTCAGAGTTTCTCTACCTTGGCCAGGCCAGGAGCCCCAAGGCATCCCAGCGAGAATGGCCCACTGGGACCTAGGGAAAGTGTCCTTCTTGCTGTTTCCCATCTTTGGCATTCCTGTAAGCCACAGCCACCCCTGCAGGATTCTATCACTGCGGATCCACTCCTGTCTTCTCTTTCCCTTGAATCTCCCATCTCTGTGTGTGTGCGTCTCCTCTGCCTGCTTGCGGCGGGAATAGACTGTATTGAAGTCCCTCATGCAAATGTCCTGATTCATTACCTGATTGAGCTGATTCTCATTTTGATGAACAGGACTTTCTGTCTTTATCTGCAAGTTAGAATTTCCTCAGTATGAGCGACACATTTTAGTTATAGGCAGCCGGGTGGTGTAATGGATAGACTCGTAGTCAGGAAGACCTGGCACTCTATCCAGTGCGCCACCGAGCTACCCCTAGGCACTTAATAAATGCTTACTGATTGGTTGATTGATAGTGAGAATTCCCGCACTACCCTTTGAGGTGCGGCAGAAAGAGTCTTGTCTCTCTACTTAGACTGTGAGCTTTCTGGAGGGCAGAGACCATGCCAGACAATCCTCTAGGCCTCACAGGACCTTCCTGTGCTTGTGCTGTGCTCTGGGGACATGATGGGGTCACTTATAGTAAACCCACTGACTGAGAGGGCAGCAAGCTACCCACATGCCGCTCCATGTGATTGGCTACTGGGAGCATACAAGGGTATCCCTCAGAGCTGTAAGATCGCAGATCTGCAGCTGGAAGGGACCTCAGAGGCCATCTGGGACAGCCCCTCATTTTACTGAGGAGGAAATTGAGGCCCAAGGACTTGCCCAAAGTCACAGAAGTAGGAAGCATCAGCGGTGCAAGTTGAATCCCAGTACCGTCATTCTGAGGACAACTGGGTAGTACAGTGGTTAGAGCGCTGGGCCTGGAGTCAGGAAGACTCATCTTCCTAAGTTCAAATCTGACCTCAGACACTTACTAGCTGCGTGACCCTGGGCAAGGCACTTCACCCTATTTGCCTCAGTTTCCTTATCTGTAAAATAAGCTGGAGAAGAAAATGGCAAACCTCTATAATAGTGTCTTTGCAAGAAAGTCCTGAATGGGGTCATGAAGAGTCAGACATAACTGAAAACGACCCAGCCTCTCACTCTAGAACCATCTCCTTGTAACACTGCCTCCTGTATCAGAGTGAGGTTGGCTTATTCTGGCGCGTCAGGAGTTGGGCCGCCCGAGCCTCCCTGACCTCTTCACTCACCGGCAGCTGTTTCTCCAGACAGATGCTGAAGGTCTTGGTTTGGTTGGGCTTCAGTTTTTTCAGGGGGATCCGAGTCTCCCCGATGAACTCATTGTGGCGGAATTTGTCCTCGTCACAGACGGAAATCCTGGGAAGTAAGACAGGTTGCCTATTATAGAGCAGGGTCAAGGGTACCCAGGATTAATTACCATAGGATGGGGACCAAGGTCGGGGCAGGAGGAAACCGTCCAAGAGAGTGGAACCTGCTGACGTTCTCTCCTGTAGGTAGAGCTGAGGGAGGAGCTGTGTTAGCACCACCTTACCTTTGTATTAATCTGTGAGTCACTAGAAATTGGGCCTCAGAACTACAAAGACTTGGATTCAAATCCAGCATTGTGTGATGCTGGCCAAATCACTTAACTTTCTGGCAACTCCCTGAGACTACAAAGGTACTCTCTGTACAACAAAGGTACAAAGTACAAAGGTGCTCTCTGTACAGGCAACCTCTAGTTGCTTCCTGTCTTGGCGGAGGGAGTTTCTTCCTCTGGAACTTCCTTATGCCTGTGAAATCCAGTCCCTATCTCTTAAAGCTCACCTCCCACAGAAGGCCTTCCTGCATTAACCCCACCCTGACTCTGTTCCCTCCTAAATACCCTTCTCTGCTTCTGTATTGTAGTGATATCTCCCTGGAGTTGGAATCCAATGTATCAATTTCCTCATCTGTAAAATGGGTATGATGATGCTTTTCCTTATCTATAAAATGGGTATAATGCTTTCATTGGGAATTGCTGTTTGCCATTTAAAATTACTGTAGATGTTATAAAATTTTGGGAGTCTGCCTGCCAAAACAAAACCAGGAGCTATGTGAACACAATTACAAAACACTTTTAACACAAAGTCAGATCTAAATAATTGAAAAAATATCAGTTGCTCATGGGTAGGCCCAGCTAATACAATAAAAATGACAATTCTACCTAAATTAATTTACTTATTCAGCACTATACCAGTCAAACTACCCCAAAATTATTTTATAGAGCTACAAAAAACAATAACAAAATTCATCGGGAAGAACAAAAGATCCAGAATATCAAGGGAATTAAGGAAAAGAAATGCAAGGGAAGGTGGCCTAGCTGTACCAGATCTTAAATTGTATTATAAAGCAGCAATCACCAAAACTGCTTGGTACTGGCTAAGAAATAGGGAGGTGGATCCGTGAAATAGGTTAATGGAACAATCAATGACTATACTAATTTACTACTTGATAAATCCAAAGACTCCAGCTTCTGGGATAAGAAATCACTATTTAACAAAAACTGCCGGGAAAACTGGAAAAATGTATTGCAGAAACTCGGCATAGACCAATATCTTACACCTTATGCCAAGATAAAGTCAAAATGGGTACAGATTTAAATACAAAGACTGATACTATAAGAAAATTAGAGGAGCAAGGAATAGTTTACCTTTCAGATCTTTGGAGAAGGGAAGAATTTATGACCAAGCAAGAGATAGAGAACATCATGAAATGCAAAATGGATAATTTTGATTACATTAAATTGAAAAATTTTTGCACAAAGCCAATGCATCCAAGATTAGGAGGGAAGCAGAAAACTAGGAAAGAATTTTTACAACCAGTATCTCATTTCTAAAATAGAGAACTGAGTCAAATTTATAAGAATAGAAGTCATCCCCCAATTGATAAATGGTCAAAGGATATGAACAGGCAGTTTTCAGAGGAAGAAACTAAAGCTATCTATAGTCACATGAAAAAATGTTCCAAATCACTATTGATTAGATAAATGCAAATCAAAACAACTCTGAGGTACCCCATCATACCTCTCAGATTGGCCAATATGACAAAATAGGACAATGATAAATGTTGGAGAAGATGTAGGAAAATTGGAACACTAATGCATTGTTGGTGGAGTTGTGAAATGATCCAACCATTTTGGAGAGCAATTTGGAACTATGCCCATATAAAATTGTGAATACCCTTTGACCCAGCAATACTACTTCTAGGTCTGTATCCCAAAGAGATCATAAAAACGGGAAAAGGATCCACATGTACAAAAATATTCATAACAGCTCTTTTTTGTGGTGGCAAAGAATTGGAAATTGAGAGGATGCCCATCTATTGGGGAATGGCTGAGCAAGTTGTGGTATATGAATGTAATGGAATACTATTGTGCTATAAGAAATGATGAGCAGGCAGACTTCAGAAAAAACCTGGAAAGACTTGTATGGACTGATGCTGAGTGAAGTGAGCAGAACCAGGAGAACACTGTACACAGTGACAGCCACATTGTGCGATGACTGACTTTGGCAGACTTAGCTCTTCTCAGCAATGCAAGAATCTAAGATAACTCCAAAAGACTCATGATGGAAATTGCTATCCACAGCAGAGAAAGAACTGTGGAGTCTGAATGCAGGTGGAAGCAGACTATTTGCTCTCCTTTTCCTTTTTTTTTTTTTATTGCTTCATTCTCATGGTTCCTCCCATTAGTTCTAATTCTTTATGTCATGACTAATGGGAAAATATGCTTAATATGAATGTATAAGTAGAAAAAAAAGGAGTGGCTGGTTCCCCCCCCCCCATTCATCTCCTCCCACTGCACAGGCTACCTCGAATTCCCTCCCCATCTCCTCCTGGAACCCCTGGCTTCCTTCAAGGCTTGGCTTATTTGCCACCTCCTCCATGAAGCCATTCTTTATTCCCCTAGTTGTTAGCACTGAAATGGCAGTAACCAGTATTTACAGATTTCTGCTGATGTTTATACATCCAGTAGGATATAAACTAAACCTAACTATTCTGTCTGTGTATCCCTGGTGCCTAGCTCAGTGCCTGGCCTAGAGTAGGAGCTTAATGTTTATTCATTCAAATTAACTTATTGAGCAAACATTTATTAAGGACCTACTATGTGCACAAAAACAAAGTCATCCTTGCTGTCTGGGAGTTTACATTCTAAGGGTATGGGGTGGGGGGTTGGGCATTATTATTATTTTTTAAAAATAGCTCTGTAAGCTTTATTAACAAAATTTTACTGAGCTAGTCTCTAACAGAAGAATGATGAAATAGCAGGACTATATATTTTTGAGAATAGCTAAGTCATTCACAGTTGATCATCACTTTCTTCTAGTTCTGCTCACTTCATTTTGCTTCAGTTTATGTAAAACTTTCCAGATTTTTCTGAAATCATCCTACTCATTATTTCTTTTTTTAAAAAAAATTTTTTTAAAATCAACAATCACTTCCATATGCTTTTGAGTTGAAAGTTTTTCTCCCCCTTCCTCCCTCCCCACCCTCTCCAAGACGGCACATAATCTGATCTAGGCTTTACATTTACATTCCTATTAAACATATTTTCACATTGGTGAAGTTGTAAGTAAAAATTAAAACCAATAGGAGGAACCATCAGAAAGATGAAACAAAACTCAACAGAAGGTAAAAATAAGTGAGAGCGATTCGACTTCCATAGTTCTTTCTTTGGATGTGGACAGCATTTTCCATCCCGAGGCCTCTGGAGATGTCCTAGATCCTTGTAATGCTGGGAAGGGTTCAGTCTAACAATCTTAGTCATTGTATAACGTGGCTGTTATTGTGTACAAAGTCCTCTTGGTTCTGCTCGCTTCACTCAGCATCAGCCCATATAAGTCTTTCCAGGTTTTTCTGAAGTCAGTCTGTTCCTCATTTCTTATAGCACAACAGTATTCCATTACATTCATATACCACAACTTGCTCAGCCATGCCCCAGTGGATGGGCATCCCCTCAATTTCCAAATCTTTGCCACCACAAAAAGAGCTGCTATAAATATTTTTGTACATGTGGGTCCTTTTCCCATTTGTTTGATCTCTTTGGGATATAACCCTAGAAGTGCTATTGCTGGATCAAAGGGTATGCACATTTTTGTAGCCCTTTGGTTATAGTTCCAAATTGTTCTCCAAAATGGTTGGATCATTTCACAACTCCACCAACAATGTATTGGGATTGGGCATTATAAACAGAAACTAAACACAAAATAGAAATGAGTGATTTTTTTGGGGGGGGTGGGGTGAAGGCATCAACAACTTTGGGCACTGGGTCAGAGACTTCCTGAAGGAGGTGGAGCTTTGGCTGAGCTATAAAGGAAGTTGGGCAAAGTCAAAGATATGGAAATGGAACCTCAGATGGGTCACTTTACCTGGGAGGCACAGCTTGGGAATAAGGAAAATGTGCATTAAGCCTGGAAAGGAAAACCAGAGCCAGGGGGTGAAAAGCTTTAAAGACCAAATGGAGAAGTCTATGTTTCATCCAAAGGCAGAGAGGTCTTTCAGAGGCCACCCAGGACAGTCCCCGTACAGATTAGGAACCGAGGCCCAGAGTGACTTGTTCAAGGTTATGTCCAGAAGAGGCTGGGGGCGGGATATCTGAATTTAGGTCTGCGGACTCCAAAGCCAGTGCCTTTCCCCAAAGTATGACATAAGAGGGAGCCACTGAGGTTTCCTGAGCATGGTCAGAATTGGAAAAAAAAATGTTTTGTAACACTAGATAAATGCCACACACCATGCTAGTTGTCATCAGTAACAGTAATGATAATGACTTTGCCCGACGGTGCTGGTGGGGACCATGTTACGTCTGGTCCCTGAGGGCCCCGTCTGGTGCTGTGATTCTCAGATAAACTCGCCTGGGCACAGGCTGACCCTCCCGGTCCCTATTTGCTGCCCAGGCTCTCTCGGTTCAGGTCTCCCTCCCTGCCAGGAGAGCCATTTCTCCCATCAGCCCCCACTGTGTTTGGATTGAACAAGCTTCTGGCTGGTACTGCTGCCTGGCTGCACTTGATAATTTTACATAGACATAGAAAATAGAGACAACTCATTAGGGAGAAAATGGTTCTTGAAGCTAAGACTGCATCAGCTCTTTTTAGCTCAGCCCTGCCTGGGGGAACAAGGGAGGGAGGGGAGACAGCAGCCAGCCCAGTGGGGTCCTCCTCACCTTAGCGTCTTCCGGATCATATCTTCATCTGTGATTCCGTAGTAGGTGAGGGTCTCATTCCAGGTGGGGTTTAGGGTATTCCGAAGAGTTTTTGTTCTGAGTTTATTTGCCTAGAAAAAGGAAAAAAAAAAAGGAAGAAAGGCGGAAGAGAAAGTTGTGGCCTGGAGAAGGGCCAGAGGATGCCCCAAGGGGAGCCTCTGGGATAAAGCAGCCCAGAGGTATCAGCTGCTTTCTATGCCCTGGGGGGTCGGGACAAGCTAGTCCTCTCGGTGCTCCCCACTGCGGGGCCCCAGGGAGGCAGAATTGTGGAGTCGGCAAACTTTGCCCTCGAGCCCCCAAGCTTCCCACCCCCATAGCTTGTGGGGTGCAGTGATGGTGCTCGGCTCTCATCTGCTCTCAGGAGAGGGATAGTCATTTACCGTCAGGGCAAATCTCAATGGTTTCTTCTCCTAGGGGGCAAATCAAATCTTCTAATTCTGATTTATTTGTTGAATGAAAAGTTTAGTCCTTGATGCAGGCTATTATGCCAGGCCCCCTTCACCCAGGGAAGGAGGAGGACCATGCTGATAGAGACAGCAAGAGTGACTGATGTGGAATTCTATCAACCCCTTTGCTCAACCTTTGTAAGAGGCTCCAGCTTCCCAGCTCCCTTTGTCTACCCCAATAGGAAAACCACAGGGACCCTGCCATCTGTGGGTCATCTAGGACCTCGATCGAGCTAGAGTGCTGGCATTCAGCTGCCTTTATCTTCACCTTTTAGATTTCCTTGTTTCCTTGAGCAGAGCTTAAACTTGAAGTCATGTAGAAGTATGACATCTTTCCTAATTCCCTCACCGATCAGAGCCTCTCCCTGGACTTATTGTGTTTTTATTTACATGTGCATATTTTTCCTTTTTTTATTAATTTATTTTTAGTTTTCAGCAATCACTTCATACATTTTTGAGTTTTAAACTTTTTTCTGCCCTTTCCTCCCCAAGACAGCATGCAATCTGATATAGGCTCTAATATACATTCCTATTAGACGTATTTTCTACGTTTGTCTATTTCGTCTCTTCTAGCAGAAAGGTGCTTCCTTGAAGGCAGGTACTGTTGTTTCATTTTTGTTTTTATATGTCCAGCACTTATCACAGTGCATAGTAGGTGCTTCATAAACCCTCTTTCTTGTGGCAGGACCTCCATTCCCCTGCACTCAGCCAAAATGGGGAGCTTTGGATGGTGGTGGCATGGAGAGCATAAACTTTACGTAGGAGTGGGTATGTTTACTAAACCAACTTCTATACAATCAGTAAAGCCCAGAGCTAGAAAAGTTAGTGTGAAGTCTTTACCCTTGAAATCTAGCACCATCCTGACAAATTTCAGACCTTAGGAAGCAGGAGAAGGAGACATTCCTCAATGAGCCCCGCCCAGGTGCAGGTCGCTAGCCTGGCCAGACCCTCAGCACCATGTGTTTATTGTTATCTCTGAGAACTTGGGAGGGCCCCTAGAGGGCTTCTGATCTGACCCCCTCGTTTTGCAGAGAAGTATAAGTGAGTTGTCCAGTTATACACAGTGTAGAGCAGAGGAAGCCACAGGTGGTAAATGGGGCCATTCAAGAGAGGGTAGGATAATGCAGGCCTTGCTGAAAATGTCACCCAGATGGGCAGACAAATGAAGGGATGGTGATGGGGGAGGGAGCTGCTTCCCCTGGGTCTAACAAGTTGGTACGAGATTTCCAAAAAGTCTGACCCTGTGTGTGAGCCTGAGGCTGTTTTCAAAGGCTGCCCAATTATGGTGTCAAATAAGAAAACTCACGACCTCTGGGCACTCTATGAGCAGGGGTGGTTGTGGCTGTTCCTTGGTTACTCCCCAGGTCTCCAGAGCGGGGGGCCATTGGCAGCCTGGACTCTTGTCCCTTTGAATCTCTGTTTCCTACTGTCAGAGCTGATGTCAAACACAGAAGACCCATGGTGCATGTGTCTGTGAGGGCTTTGGAGCAGAACATGGAACCCCCAGGGAACCCATAAGATCATATCTTCTTTGTGAACCAGGAGGAACCAAAATCAGGAGGAAACTAAAGGCCTGTAGGCAAAGGAGTCTGGGAAACCAGGCATCAAGCTAGAGCCATTAGACAGACTCAGTGAGGGTCAGCGCTTTCTATCTTGTGGGGTGCTCACACAGTGACCACCTTTTTGTTCTGCACCCCAGTGTGGAGCAGGTGAGGAAACAGGCTCGGAGTGAGATGGTACAAGTTCAAAGTATTTGGTCAAACAGAATCTAAGCAACATGTCCAATGTCAGACAGCTGCTGTCCCAAACTGGACTCTGTGAAAATCAGACCTTTTGCTTATGTAATTGTTTTATGGCTATGATTTCATTGGAGTAGGGGGCTCCCCTTTTTACAGATAAAGAAAGTGAGACTGAGAGAATTAAGAGATCTGTCCATGTAGGAGGTAGTAAGTAACTGAGGCAGGTTCATACTCAGGTTTTCTTGACTCTAGGTCCCACAATCTATCCCCTACACCTACTCCCTGGCTTCAGTTTCCTTATTTGTAAAATGAGCTCTACAGTGATGATCTATATTTCATTTTAGTCTTCATCTGTAAAATGAGGGGGTTGGAGTAGATGGGCTCTGGGCCTCAGTTTCCTCATCTGTAAAATAAAGGGGTTGGAACAGATGGCCTTGGGGGTCTCTTTCGACTCTAAATCTTCGATCCTGTGATCCTTCCCCTTCCCTTCTCTCTTTCTCTCCATTCCAACTCTCTGTCCATCTCCATCCCCTCCACACTGCACCCTGCTGGGACCTAAGGAGAGCTGGGAGCAGACCTTCCCAGCACCTTGCCAGTGATGCTCTGGGCCTGATTTCTTCAGGAGTTTGAGGGAGGCTGGGAAAGGCAACTCGATTAGGAGGAGAAGAGAGAAACCAGGACACCCGAGCCCCATTTTCAAGTCTGGCCTGCAGAACAGGACTGGGACATTGTGACCTAGCACAGAGCCTGGACAGCGTCAATCAGCTTGGCCTGTTTATCCTCCAGGCTCTGGCCAGCCCCTCTGCTGCTCAGATTTATCCAGCAGAGCTCTGCCCCTCCCCTCCTTATTTTTGGTCCTGGGGGTGGGGGGAGATTGGGGGGCATTTTCAAAAGCTTCCAATTGTGCTGTTGAGGGTTCAAAAGGAATTTAACTATCCCTGGTGCAAAGTCACTTTATCTGGACCTCAGTTTCCCCATCTGTACATAATTACAGTTAATGTTTATATCATGCTTTAATGTTTACAAAGTTTGTTTGTTTTTGAGACTGGGTCTGCCTCTATCTTGCCAGGCTGGATCCACTCAGGAGCCCAGTTCTACTCTGATCAACTTTCCAACCTTGGTCAATTCATTCCTCCTTAAGGCAGCCTGAGTCCCGCTCTGAGGAGCTTCCCATCCTGGTGCTGACACCTAATGGGCTTAGCTCTACTGCTCTTCCTCCCGCGTGATCCTCCATCTCCCACCTCCCACCCTGGCTGTCTCCCGTGCCTAGAACGCTCTGCCCCCTCACCCAGACTTTTTGGGATACTCAGTTTCCTTCTGGACTCAGCCCAAATGCCACCTTCTGCAGGAGGCCTTTCCCAGCTCCCCAGCTCCTAGGGTTGTTCCTTCTGAGACTTTGTACCATCCTCTCTTGTATATAACTAATTATTGACATTTTGTCTCTTCTTTAGAATATAAACTCTTTGAAGACAGGGACTGTTTTTGCCTTTCTTTGTATCCTCAGTATTCAGTACAATTCCTGGAACACAGAAAGTGCTTAATAAATGCTTGTTGATTGACTAAAAGAGCACTGAGAACCCAGGTTCGAATGCTTATTGCCTATGTGACCTTAGGTAACCCCCTCCCATCCCTGGGCCTCAGTTTCCATCTCTGTACAACGAGGGGCTCTAGATCCATGATCCTCTAAGTCAGTTCCTCTGCCTGTGCCTCAGTTTCCCCCTTTGTAGAATGACGGGTTTGGACGTCACCACCTCTGAGAAACCTTTCAGCTCTAGAGCTATGATTCTTTGATTCTGTCAGCATATTTCTGAGCAGAAGAGCGAAGATATCAGAACTGTGCACCAGGAAGATGAAGAAGTGGTGTCTTTTTTTTTTTTGGCAGTGGGAAGAGGCTGGAGGTGGGGAATCCAGTTAAGAGGCCATTGCAATGTTCTTGGCCATAGATAATGAAGCCCTGAGCTAGAAGGGTTGTTGTGGGAATTGAAAGGATGAGACAGCTTGGAGAGATACTTGCGAGGTAGACTTAGCAGGAGCTTTTTTGGGCAACAGATTAGATGGGGTGGGGTGGGGAAGGGAGAAGGAGAGAGTGAAGCCAAAGCTTCTGCAGTTAGAAGCGTGGGTGACTTGGGGGATGCTTATATCATTGACAGAGAAAGAAGCGAGAAAGAGAAGCAAGTTTTAGGGGGAAGAGGATGGCTCAGTTTTGAATGTGGTGAGTGAGGGATGCTAGTGGGATCCATGAAGCCCTCCTGGTCCTCCCACCTCATCTACAAATGACCTTTCCTTCCTATTACCTCCCATCCTACCTCTTGCATTTATGAATTATGTGACCTTGAGCAAATTGTTTAATTTCTCAGTCTTCTCATCTGTAAAACAAGAGGATTGGGCAAGATGACCTCTATGGCCTCTCTCAGCTCACCTATGATTCCCACTTCTTTGTAGACACGTCTTATATGTCCAGGAAGCTGCTGGGAATGTGGGTTGGGGCTAGAGATGGGGACCCAGCAGTGATTCACTTGAAAAGTAAAGCAGGAAATGTTGCTGGGATGAATGTCTCTTTTGTGAAGACCAGCTTTGATGACTTTGGAGGACCTCCTCCAGCCATGCAAACACTTCAAGAACACCGACTAAGATAGAAAAGGAGTGAGAGATGATTCAGTGGAAGGACTACACTTACCAAAGTCACCATCCCTTAAGGACTGAAGTTAGTATAAGAGTAGAGCTGACTTTTTAAAAGTGGATGAGAGTGTGGAGGTGGGGGGAGGGGGGATCAAAGAGGAAACTCAGGCTCAGGGAGGGGAAGTTATTGGCCCAGAGTTATGTAAATAGTAAGCATCAGTGGTGCAATTTGAACCCAAGTCCCGAGTTCCAAATCCAGGGCTCTTTCCCCTGCACAGGGAGAGAAGAGGAATTGAGTTGAAGCCTTAGGGATTATCAGCATTTTAGGAAAGAAGATGAGTAGACTCATAAATCATCGATTTAGAGCTGAAAGAGACCATAAAGGTTCTTGAGTCAACCCCTCCCCTCAATTTGACAGATAAGGAAATTGAGGCCTAAGTCCCTGATCACAAGCTAGTAAGTGATCTGGAGGAGATTTGAACCCAAGTCCCTAAGTGTAGGATTTGAACCCTAGAGACAGGGCTTCCCTCACCGTGCTATGCAAGCAGCCAGCAGAGCAGAGAGAAGAAAGGGTAGAGGCTGTTCTCAAGAGCTCTGGTGGCTATGCCCTTCATCAATCCGGACAAATCTTTTACGCAGCCATTTTTTTTTCTTGCTCGTACCATCTATCAGAGTAATGAGTTCTTTAAGTTTGAAGTAAGACTTCTCCAGGGCGGCCCCAAAGTCTAAGACTTTGTTTTACCTTACTATGATGCCCGATGTGTGACGCTGGCCAAGTCACTCCCTGTCTCTGGGCTTCTGTCTTCCCCTCTGTAGACTGAAGGGGTTTGGCTAAGCGGTCTGCAAGCTCTTTCCATTATGCCCCATTCTGTCTCATTACTTGGCCTGCTGTGGCTTCTGCTGGAACCCTAGAGGTCTGATATGGTAGATAAAGCATGGCTCTAGACACCAAAGACCTGGGTTCGAATCCCACCTGTGACATTTAGTCACTGTGTGCCAGTGGGCAAGTCTTTCAACTGTCTTGGCTCTCAGTTTCCTCCCCTGTTAATGAGGGGGCTCTGAGGGAGGATCCACCATATCCTGGTGGTGTGGTCCTGGCCAAGTCACTTAACCTCTTAATGCCTCAGAAAGTTACAGAGGAGGTGTTGATCTATCTTGGTAGAGGGGCGTCCCTTGCCAGGAGTTCCCCATACTGAGTTCCAAAGGCTCAAACTTCAGTAAGGTTTTATGTATATTATCTCACTTGATCTTCATGACCTGTGAAGTTATTATACCAGCATTGCAATTATCATGCCTTCTCACTGCATGAAGAAACATCATGATGCTCAGAGTGATTAGCCCAGGGTCACATAGCTAGTGTCGGAGGGGAGATTTGAACTCATATCTTCTTGGCCCCTAAGCTCTATCTAACCCCCCAGGATGATCATGCCTGCCCTGCCACCCCTACGACTGGGGTTCTGGCATCAGGGGGCCCTCTGGGGCCTGGAGGCTGCTGGGAGATTGGCCTGCCTGCAGCAGGAGAGAGAAGGGTTAGCTCTCACCTTACTTGCTCCTGGGAGTAAATGCAGTTTGACGTATGGATCTGCCAGCCCATTATGGTCCATTGGCTTCAGTCCCTTAATAAAAAGAGAAAAACAAAGGCCACTGAATTGATTATGACAAAGAACAGCCCATGGCCACCTGGGCATCTGGCTAAGCAGACATCATGAAAATTGACTCCCAACGAAATCCATTTCCACACTCAGGACACATGTTTCTGCCCCACCCCTCTGCTTTCCATGAGGGCTCAGCAAACCACCCAGACCCAGGAGTTCTGGACAGTGTCCTCTGTGCTCTGGTCCCCCCTGAGGCAGCCAGGGAAAGAGGCTATCCAGATGGTCAGGCCCCAGCAGGACCCCTTGGGCTTGCTCTATTCTCTGCATGACCACTGGCCACACCCTTATCTCCACTGTCCATCTCCCGACAAGGACAGCATGCGAGTGGATGGACTGGTGCGTGGTGATCCCCACTCGTGGATCAAAGCCGGAGTCCCACCACCACTGGGTCGTAAGTGCCTTCTTTTGTATTCCCAGCACTTAGCGCAGCACTGGGTACACAGTAGAGGCTTAGTAAAGGTGTATTGATTGAGTGATCGTGGTCTACAAAGGACACGGCTCAGCTCTGCCTCCTCTACGTCCAATTCACGAGCAAGTCAAGGCATCACTCTTTTCCAGATGAAGGACAACCACCACCACCACCACCTCAGAGGGCATAGCCAGCACAGAATAGATGGTTTTTGAATTAAATTGCAATGAGAGCAGATCCAATCTCTACGCCCTTCCTCCCCTGTAAGAAGCTTCCTCTCCACTTTCCACCTTGCCTATGCTCCATCAGCTGCCAAGCCTATTGATCCTCCCTCCTTAGTCTCCTGCTTCCATCCTCTCCTGATCACTAATAAGGTCACCGTCCTCATTCAGCACTTAGCACAGCACCTGGCACATAGTAGGCATTTAATAAACACTGATTGATTGCTTGATGGATGGGTTCAAGTTCTCATCGACTTTTACTTGAACTATTCTAATAGCTTCCCAACTGGTGTCCTTCCCTCCAGCCTCTCTCCTCTCCAATCCAGTCAGTCAGTCAGTTAGTCGAACAGCATTTATTAAGCTCTTATTGACTGCCAGGCACTGTGCAGAGTGCAGGGAATAAAAAAAAGGCAAAAACAAGAACCCTGATTTTATCCTTGAGGATGGTGGGGGGAGTGGGAAACAACATGCAAATAACTGTGTACATATATGATATATGGTATAATTTAAAGATAATCTCAGATGGAAAGGACTGGGGGATGAGGGAGGCAGAAAAAGCCTCCTGCATTTGAGCTGGGTCTTGAAGGAGGCAGGAGGCAGAGGTAAGGAGGGAGAGTGTTCCAGGCATGGGAGGATAGCCAGTAAAAAGTCAGGAGATGGCTTAACTCTTCAATAATCTCCAACAGACATTCATTCAGTTGATCAATAAGCTGTTGGTAAATTTATTTAAGTACCTACTTAAATTTATTTTTAAGTACCTACATTGAGTACCTACATTTATTAAGTACTGACTATGTGCCGAGCATTAGGGATGCAGAGTTAAAATACAGTCCCTGCTGTCCAGAAGCTCATGGTCTAACAGGGGAGACAGACACACAAACAATTATGTGCAAACAAGACAGACAGGATACACTGGGGCCAGTCAGCACGGGACAGGCTAACCTCCACCTGGCTGCTGACATAATCTTCTTGAGGGACAGGTCTAACCATATAATTTGCTCTGCTTGAAACCTTGCAGTGGCTTCCTCTTGTCTATGGGAGAACAGCCTGACATTTAAGACCCTCCAGAACCTGGCTGCAGCCTGGCTGCATGTGACCTTGATGAATCAGCAAGCATGGTTCCCCTTTACTTACTCTGCACTACAGCCAAACCTAGCTGCTGCTGGCTTTCCTCATCTTGTTTTGCCTTTCCCTGCCACCATGAATCGAGCTGGGCATCCTCCCAGCTTGGAACGCTTTACTTCCTTGCCTCTATTTTAACCCCTTCTTTCTGGCCACCATCTCCACAGCCTCCTTCACAACCAGCTCTCCCACCACACCAGAGAACAAGCCTGGCAGGAACTTCCACTCAGTGGCCCACTCTTGGATGAGAACTGCCTCTCCCTTCTCTTTCCTCCACTTATGGAACCATGATAAATCAATTTTACTCTTCATTGGTCCTGGATGGGCTGTGTCAATCTATCCCACTCACCATCTTTTGAGGGCAGGAGCTGTCTTTGCTTTTTATTTGTATCAGAGTTTAGAAAAATACTTGGTACATAGGAAGTCTTAAATCCCTCCCTCCCTTCTTTCCATCTTTCCCCCCTCTCTCCTTCCCTTCCTTCCTTTATCCCTCCTTCCCTTTCCTCCCTTCCCCCTTCTCCCTCCCTCTCTCCTTTCCTCTCTCCTTCCTTCCCTTCCTTCCTCCCTCCCTCTCTACCTTCCTTCTTTCCTTCCTTCCTTCCTTCCTTCCTTCCTTCCTTCCTTCCTTCCTTCCTTCCTTCCTTCCTTCCTTCCTTCCTTCCTTCCTTTTCTTTCTATGTCTGTCTATCTTCCAATAGACTTTGAGTCCAGGAACCAGAATTCAAATTCTGCTTTTGTCCCTGACTACCTGTCGATTTCACATCTTTGCTGAGGATTCACCAAAGCCTGAGTCCAATAAGGTGCATCAGCGGTCTTCTTTGTATGCAAAGAAAATCGAATACAGGGTCTACCCTGTAACATTTTCCTTTAGAAATGTTTGGGAGTTTAATCATTTAATTATTTAAATGCGCTGCCACTCAGAGGCTCTTTCTTCCAGCGATTATAAAGCATGTGGATTCACTTCTGTACATGGATAGTGATGCTGGTCAAGTAATTTACTTCCCCTGTCTGGGCCTCAGTTTCCTCATCTGTAAAATGATGGCGTTTGGATTAGATCATGTGGTATAGCAGCAAAAATGCAGGATTGAGTGTACAAAGTGATGTTCCGATGCTTTACTCTACTGCTTACTAACTGTGTGGCAGGTTGGTCACACCCCCTCTCTGAGCCTCAGTTTCCCCATCTGCAAAATGAAGAGGGTAGACTCGATGACATTGGAGGCCTTTCAAGCTCTAAATCTATGCCTGGAACACAGTAAGCACTCAATAAATGTTCATTAGTTGACTGACAGAGCCTATGATCCTAAGGATGCTAGTTCTGGAAAAGGCCATTAGAGGCAGCATGGTATAGCAGAAAGAGCATTGGCTATAGGGTCTGAGGACCTGGGTTCAAATCCTGCTTCATTGATGCTAGAATCAGAGGAGTTGGGTTCAAATCCCACCTGTGACATTTACTACTTGTGTGACCTTGGACAAGTCACGTAACCTCCATGGGCCTCAGTTTCCTAGATGACCTCTGAGCTTCCTATCAGTTCTAGTCTCAGTATCCCAGGTTCCCCACATTTGGGTCTCCCTGGCTCTGAGAAAGGATCTTCCCTTCCATGAAACTGCGGAAAGGGAAGTGGAGTCAAGGTCAGAATGAGAAATGTTAAAATTGGCTTTAGAATTGAAAAGGAATTCACCCTTGAGTGCTTGAGGAGGGTCCTGTCTACCAAGTACCGGGACAGCACTAGGCCTGAAATCCCATATTTTTTATATGAGGGAAGTTGATTAAACGGTTGGATTTTTTTGGATGACTTTTGTATTATTGCTTACAAATCCATATTTCAGCATAGCTCACAGGCTTACTCAAGATTGCTCACCACTGTAATCAATTTAAAAAATCCCCATGGCCCACACTCATATGGATTTCTGATTATGTAGCCTAGTATCGTGGGAGAAAAAAAATAAAAAAACTCCTCCAGACTTGGAGCCTTCATTGAGTCCTGTGCCGATCTTTTACAGAAGGGTAAACTGAGGCCCAGAGAAGGGAAATGACTTATTTGAGTTGACAGATGGATAGAGAGTATTTATTAAGCTGTTGCTACGTGCCAGGGGATACAAAAGCAAATCTATGATCCCACCTGGTGAGTGGGTAACTCTGGGGGATTTGGATCATTGTGGGTATTTTGTGATGATTCCTGGGGGATGCTGTTGGTATTTCAAAAACTTTGCAAGTATTCTTTTCTGTCAGTAAGATTAGTAAAATGAATATTGAAATGTACATTTATATGTTGCTTTATAATTTACAAAGCATTTAAAGCCCTTCCCAATCTGGCCCCAACCTCCCTTTCTAATCTTGTTAGATATCACTCAGTCGTAAATGCCATAGTCCAGCTAATTGTTGTTTCCTGTACATGACATCTCATCTTCCACCACTTTGCCTGGGCTGCTCCCATGCCCGGTATGCCCTCCCTCCTCTTTTCCGCCTTTTAGAATTCCTAGTTTCTGTCAAAGCCCAACTCAATTGTTACCTCTTAGAGGCCCTTTCCTGGGCCAAATTAAGTGGTGCATCCATGTGTGTGTTTGCACGTGTTTGCACGTGTGTGTGTGTGTGTGTGTAGGAATAAATAGCTGTCCTATACTCAATACCCTTTTTTGGGGAGACCCTAGCCAGGAGTCATGCCAGGGCTCTGGGGTAGGGGTATAAAGAGCCTGAGCTCTCTGTATGAGCCAGGGTGGAATCTGATCCTCAAGCTTGAGCCCAGAGCTGAGGGCAACCCCGAGTGGTGGAAGATGAGCACCACTCCAAAGACTCCTATAGACACAGGCCAGTTGTGTTACCTTGTATGTATTTTGTATCTGATATGTGTCATTTTGTTTTCATTGATAGAATGTAACTTCTCGAGAGCAGGAACTCTTCCTTTTTTTGTTTTTGTATCACTAGCGCCCAGAATGCCAGGCTGCGCAGTAAGTACTTAATAAACATTTGATGATTGGCTAAGCAAGAAGTTATCTAACCTAGTCCTTTCATTTTATAGAGAAGAAAATTGAGAACCAGGAGTCCAAAGTCGCCAGTCTTTACACCCCTGGCCAGAGTCCTGGTCTGGCTCCTGTCTGGGGTCTCTCCCCACAAAAGGGCATTAAGCAATGACAAAGTGAGGCCTGGGATCCAGGTCCCCTACACAGGAATGCAGAACGCCTCCAGTACCGCCCCAAGTGGGGCAAGGTCA